GTGAGCTTAATGGGCTCCCTCGGGGGGAATTCTTTATGAACTTGACTCAGTTTACTTTTCCATCCTAAAAGGCATCACTCTGTGGTGAAATTGTTTGGATGTTTATCTTTTCACTCGACCATGAGCTTCCTGAGGGGTTTCGACTGGATCTGTCATTCTGGTTCCTAGCAACTAGCAAGATGACTGGCTTGGAGTTGGGTTTATTTGAAAGGCAACTGAACTAATGTGGGTGAGGATTCTCTGGGTCTTCAAGTCAGGCTGGAAAGGTGAGATTTGAGTAGGTGAAGAACATTTGTTAGATTATGAATGGTATGAATTGGGTACACTTGGCTTTGGTCCAGTATACCAATGTCTAGGACCATCAAAAAGAAATACCACCTGTCACGTAGGTAACTTCCTCAAGTCTGGTAGCTTGCGGCCACGTACTGCCCATCATTCACTTTGCAAAAACGTCCACACGTACCCTACGGTGGACTATCCTTCAACCAGAAAAGAGAATGAAGTCCTCTTCATACATGCTGCAATATGGATGAACTCTGAAACGTTCTATTAAGCGAAAGAAGCCAGATTCAAAAGGTCACACCCTGTATGATTCGTCTACACAAAATGTCTAGAGTACTTAAATCCATAGAGACCGAGGGCAGATCAGTGGTTGCCGAGAGGTAGGGCTTGGGGAGGAATGGGGAGAGATTGCTTGTGGGCAGAGGGTTTCCTTCTAGGCTGGTAAAGACGCTCTGGAGTAAGGTCGTAGCAGTGGTCCTACAATACCGTGGATGAAATTAATGGCAACGGACTTGCATGTTAAAATGGTAAATTTTAGGGGCGCCTGGGTGGCTCAGTCATTTGTGCCTGCGACTTCGGCTCAGGTCTTGATCTTACGGTTCGTAGGTTCGAGCCCCGTGTCGGGCTCCGTGCTGACAGCTCAGAGCCTAGAGCCTGCTTCGGATTCTTTGTCTCCCTCTCTCTCTGTCTTTCTCCCGCTGTCTCTCCCGAAAATAAACATTTAAAGCAAAATTTTAATGGTAAATTTTACATTAT